ATTATTATTGTTGTTACTATGAGTAAAGTAAAAACTTCTATTGTTGTTTTCTTTTAATTACAGGTAATGCTTTTCTTTTATTTGTTAATTTATAAAAAATAAAATATAACTTTTAATTACAGAAACGCAACTTGGGTTTTTATAAAAAAAAAAAAAGAGAATTAAATAAACAGAATTATAAAGATCATTATATACATAACAAAGCAAATAATTATAACAACAATATCAATAATTTACATAATAGTAACAATAATCGTGATAAAAATAATAATTAATTTTTATTTTAGTTTCTATTTTGTAATTCATAATTTAAATTTGATTTTAATACAACTTTATACTCAAATAAATCATCTGACAACCTATTTGACTTTGGTAAATTTGTCATAGTCGCAAAAGAGAAAAGTCTCTCTACCGGAGCTGAAGACGCCACAGGAGTATTGTACTGAAGAAAAATTTTTTTGATAGTAGGATATGAGTTTAAACATTCAAGACGTTGACGTGGATCCTCAAAATATTTTAACACCTTGAACATAAATTTAAAACCATAGTTAAATTAATTATAATTAAAACATTTAATTTCACATACAAACTTCAATCTCAGCAGACGTCGATGTATCTGTTCTGTCATTTTGTATTGCTGGACCAAAGTCATAAAAGTCAGATTGATCGTCTTCAATTTCAACATTTTCTTCACAAGATTTGTTTTAGATTCAGCTGTTACTGCTTTTCTAAATATTGATAAAAGTTTATCACGAGAATATGACGTATGAATACAATTTAACCACTTATTTTTGAACTTGGGGTGAGAAAAAGCTGCATTATCAGCTTCGACTGTATTAAAACTTAAAATATTAGAAAATCTTTTTTCGATGCTATCAAGAAGACTTTTTCGAATTAATTTACAATACATCAATTTTTCACTGTCAACAATCATTAATTTTTGTTGCAAGCATAATAGTGTAGGAATAACCGTACCGTAAAATACACTTTTATCTCCTTGTAATATGTCCAATGCTTGTGTTAAAGGCTTAACACAAAACAAAAATTCTTCAATGTAATTATGGTCAGAAGCAGTAAATAAACACTGCTTTAAATTAAGTGCTCTAGTAAGTTCACTAGATTTTTCTTTTATTTTTTGAATTTGAGTTAACGAGTCAAATAGTGAATTCCATCTCGTCTCACCGGGTCTTCATAGAGTATGTCCTAAAATTGACTGAATTATCTCTGCTGATTTTGGTCGACTTGCCGCATTCCATAATGTATTACACTTTTGCATGACTTTAGTATGTATTTCATGGAGATATAGTGATGATTTGATAGATTTCATTAAATCACTGGTAACACAAAGGCTTAATGTATGAGCACAACATCGAATATGCCTAGAAAGTATAACGTGAGGTTCATTTTCTAAATCTTCACTTTGAAAACTATTAACACTTGAATCGCTATCGCTTTCATCAGTATCATGACTATCGCTCAGTTTTCTAAAATGTGCCATTTTTACACCAAATACATCAAATGCTTTAACCATATTACTGCCACTACTGTAACTGTTGCTATCACCTATTAAAAACTAAAAATTTTCATCCAGCAACTCTATAGATTTAAATTATTTAGCCAAAAATACATAGAGTGATAAAAAAAAATCGCAAAAAAAATCATGTCCGGTAAATTATAAAATAGTTCTATATAACTAATTCATACCTTAAAGTATCGCTCGTGTGCAACAGCCGCAAAACTATTAAAACTATTATCTATAAAATATACCATTTACCTTCGTCATATCCAAATTGTACTTGTAATATATATTATGTAATATTTTTGCGATTCTATCGTGTGTATGAGCACCTCTAAAACGACGACATGCTAAGCTTGCTGATTTTCGCTCTAAAGATTCTTCATCAATCCAGTGAATGGTTACACCCATAAATCTCCTTCTTTTTGCAGACCACACATCAACTGTTGTGCATAAATAATTTACTTTTTCTAATGAACTTTTTAATTTTTCAATGCTTGTATTAAAACGAGTTTCGATTTTTCTACTAAGGCTTCGGCGACTCATTAAAGTTAAACTATTATTTTTAAGAATTCCAGATGCAACAAATATTTCTTTAAAAAATGGATTTTCTACAGTACTGAGAGGTGCCATTGAATGGATGATTTAATTAGTCACATCTTCGTCAAATTGATTTTGAGAGTATTTCATTTTATTTTTACATTTCGTATAATTGATACGTTCATTTTTTCCTTTTTTTCGCGTGTCATTAATATAATTTTCATATTCATCTAAAACAGAACTGTCGTGTTTTCTTTTTAAATATGATTTAAAATTTGACAATGAAAATTTAGATCCTTTAATGTTTATATTTTTCGGCTGACATTTAACACAACTTGCTATCACATTTTTAGAATCAGAAGAAATTAATTTAGAAAAAGTTCCATCAAGTATAGTAGCATTAGTGGCTATTTCGATCGACTTTGATGACTGCTGTTCATCTTGGGAAATAGTTTGACTCTGGCCCTCCAATAGTTGCACACTTTGAGATGAACTTGACCTGCTTTCATCATTATAAACTAAAATTGTGTCACTGCCACTCGTAATACTCAAATCATCCATTACTGTATTATTTTTACGCACTTGTAGAAAAACGAAAATAACTGTAGTTAACTGTCGATACTATACTAAATTAAAATTCAGTACATCTTCAGCTACATCAAGTTATGTCAAACATTGTTTTTAATTAATAATAAAAGCAGTAATTATTAAAGCAGTAAAACGCAGGTAAATAACATGTCGATATCGAGTGCTAAACCATTTAGATTAGCCTCGTAGAAATTATTTATGATTTTTGGTTTTGACATTTTTGACTGCAGATAATATAACAATAAGAAAGAAATACTAGTTTCAATTTTCAGTTAAGTTGTAGTTTTAAATTACCTACGAATCATTTGAGATAAACACGACTATGAAGAATAATGAATAACCGAATAATGAATAAAAAATGTAGAATAACTCGTTGAATAATGAATAACGAATTATTGTAAAAATTAAAATGATGAATATAAATAATCTAGAATAATCAAATGAAAAATTAACGAATAAAGAATAATTTTTTATTCAAATAATCAATCGAATAATTTTTTATTCGAATAATGCCCAACTCTTACGTTTACGTACTTAAGTCGCTTTACATGTATATATATATATATATATATATATATATATATATATTCTAATTACTATTAAAATTTATACATTAACAAGCTTTATTCTCATTACGAAAGTGTGTTCATTCCGATTACAAAGGATGATTCCCGTATCGTCATTTTTCGTCATAACCTCCACGTTCCAGGAGTGGGTAATTTCCGCGCCTGCTGCTTTCCTTAGATGTGATAGCCGTTTCTCAATCTCCCTCTCCGGAATAGAACCCTGATTTCCCGTTACCCGTTACAACTATGATATCGATAGTAACTACTATCATAACATGAAACTAAAAAGTGATAAATAAATATAGTTTAAAAAAAACTAAAAAAACACGCTTTTAAAGCACATCGAACTAAAAAGTTAAAAATAATTTTTAAATTAAGCTTAAAACAATGATGAATGAAAAATACTAGTATTATTGTGAAAAAAAGCGTGAGGGCTTAGTACTATATTTTTTTTATATTGAGCGCCCGACGCTTTTTTTCATATTAATACTAGCATTTTTCATTCATTATTGTTTTAAGTTTATTTTAAAAATTATTTTTAACTTTTTAGTTCGATATGTTTTAAAAGCGTCTTTTTCAGTATTTTTAAACTATATTTATTATTATTTTTTAGTTTTTTATGACAAAAAACACTTACAAATTTAATGTTTTAATTAAATTTGTTTAGTTTAAAAAATCATTTATATTTTTGTAAAAAAGTTGCTATTTAGAATCCCCCCTTTTGGTTAGGTAAATGGTCAGAATGCAAAAAATATTATACCAAAAAAAAAAAACGAAATACCTAAGGTTTCCATTAAAAAAAAATTATTCTGATTTGTTAATTTTTGAAAAAGTTATGATAGTTTTAAGAACAAAAAATTTCAAAAATTTCTGATTTTTTAAAATTGTAATTTTTTTTGGATATTTCCCCATTCTATTTACGAGAAACGAGGGAAATTTTTTTAATTTTTGAGGGTAATGTCTTTAACTAGATACGATTTGTGATCTTTTGATGTATCATTGAAAGAAATCGGTTCTGTGAGAGCTAAGAAAAACATACACAAAAAAAAAAAAATACATCATGGTAAAATTAATACCTTCTCAGCTTCTCATCGAAGCTAAAATTACTATAACGTTTAACGCGGTAGCATTCATAATATAATCTTATGATATTTTATTATAATTACATATTCATTTTGTTTTATATTATGTGCGCTTTATCGCCTTTATCAATGAAAATATATGTATCGCACAGTATAATCAGACTATATTTTCATATAGTCTGTAGTATATAGTCAGTAGTTGAATGATATGAGATAGAATAATTTTAAACTGACCATTATTATTATTTAATTATATTTTATAATTGCTACATTTACTTATAGATCCCAAACTATTAAAAAAAAAAAGTTCATCTTTTTGAAGAACTAAATCAGTTTTATCAAATTTGAATTTTATGATAGACTCATTTAATTGTACTGACAAATATTTACAAGACTAACAAAATGGACCAAGTATATTCATTTTTATTTGTTAAATTATTTATCATAGACTAGTTTTGATCATGAATAAACAAAAATTATCTTAATAATTCGTGTTCAATATGTATACTTCTAGTTAAAATATAATATTCTTGACATTTAGTAAAATACCTTAAATTATAAAGAATATTTATTTAAATAGTTATTTCATAAGTGTTCTAGCAAGTCACCGACAATTATGCGGTCAACCAAATGTCGGCTTATCTCTTCCGCACCACATAAATATCTAGAAAATTCTAAAAGTTTATGACGGGCATTAGGTTAACTGGTCGGTGTGTCCCCCGGCTAGGTCAACAGTTTGTCGTATATTCACGTAGGTATAGTTGTGTGATTGTTATTTTATATATTTATGTAGTTTTTCAGCGTCTTGTTTTTTTTTGTGTTAATTGTGTGCATGTCGGAACCTTGTGGCTATCCAGAAAATCGGAGATTCGCCAGTCTCAGAGTATCTGGGTAGTTTATGCAGTGGCATACTGATTGTGTGGATCATTCAACTGGTGCGACTCTTTTGTCAGTCAGAAAGGCAAAAGTGTAAATGTCAAGAGATCAGGTGAGCTCGTTATGTAATTGTTATAATATTTGTGTTAATTTATTTGTTTAATTTTTAATTATAACATAAATTATATGAAAATACACAAAACTTCAACTTTCATACAAATGGAAGAAAAAAATTATATACACATTAGTTCTTGTAATTTTTTTATTCAAACATTTATCTGTTACAAATTGTTTAAAACAAGTAAATTTAAATCAACATTTTATTATTTAAATTGATAATTAAATTATGTGCAAATGAAATTTAAATAATTTGTGAAATTATAGAAATATTTAATTTTTTATAAATAGACTGGATTTTAAGGGAATATCATTGAAGGAATAGGCTAAAATAATTATAATGTTTCGAAAAGGGGTAAAAAATAAATTTATACATTAAGAGTCCAGCAGCGAAATGTCCTAGACCCTAAAATATTATGATATGGAATATTATTGTACTGTAAAATACAATGCTATGAATAAAGGAGTTTATAAATTAAACTTTTTATATTAACGAAGTTATATAGATTTCACGTTAACTTGATTTTTACTTAATTTATATTTCGTTCATTTGACCACTAATTAGTTTTTTTTTTTGTATTTTTCGTTAAATACTAAAATATAGTTAAATGTTATTAAATATAGCGGTCGTCCTAGCTTAATGGATAGAAAGATATGTTTTGACGCACGGGTCAATCCCCAGGGTGCCAATAAGTTTTTTCTTGTGATTTTCTCATTAGTGGTGTCTAGTCTCAAGTGCAAGTCGGCCATGATACCCGACCGTCCACCTTTGGCCTAACCAAGAGCCATCTTTGACTTCTTAACATGTGAAAGAGGGCGCCACTCTCTGTAGCACGTTAAGTTCGGGAAATAGAAGGGTGTACTATCAAAAGGAACTGTTCATTATTTGTATTATTTTTTGTTAAATACCTCTTCAAAATAAAATTCTAAATACTTTAAAATATTATTTTTATATAAGTTAGTTCAAAAAATAATTTTTCTTGGTTATTTGATTTGTTCATCGAATAAAATGTAACATCCATTTCATGGATTATGTTACTTAATGTCAATTTTATTGATAAATAATTACTCCAAATTTCGGACAGGTGACCAGCCGAACCTTGTCATACGGAGATTTTCGTAGATAAATTCTTTTAATAAATATCGATCGAGGTTATTGTCTACAGTCACGTTCAATAAATAAACGTAATGGTATACAGTGTTCAGTGAGTAAGGAAACAGGTCACTTGTTATAGACAATGAGAACAATAGAAATCCGTTTCCTTAATTACTGAACACTTAAAAAACAAATGAAATATTATGTAAATCGTTACAAACAAAAAAAGTGGGGTTCAATCATCCATTATACAGGGTGTTCAGTAAGTCAGGAAACGGGTATCTATTGTTCTCATTGTTTGTAACAATGAGAACAATAGATACCCGTTTCCTGACTTACTGAACACCCTGTATAATTTTTTTTATGGAATCAAATTACTGAACACTATATATAGTGAAATAGATTAAATACATTATATGTAAATACGATTACTGTAAGCTAATATAAATGGCATGACTAGTGAAATTTTTAAGTGAATCGATTTAAAAATCGGCCATAAATGAATTGTTTTTCGATTAAATTTTTTTTTTAATATAAATAAATTAATGTATTATGTACCAATAGTTCATAGAATAATCAACTAGATAGTACTTTTGAACCTTAGAAAAATCTAAAATAAAATAAAAATCTGTACATTTGCATAATAATTTTCTTTACAGTAGTTAATTAGAGATATGTTACTAAATAACTCTGTTATAAACTTTGATATATGAATAATAATAAAACACTATGATAGTTTTTAAGTACATACTTTTATTAACAATATAAATTTATTTTAAATAAAAAATTAAATAGTTTAATTATCACGAAAAGAATTGCACAGCAAATGAGACGAACGTAGTGATAACGCCGATTTAATGGTAACACAGTCGCCGATATCAGGTCTCATAGAGGCTGCTCTCTACTATTTTGCGTCGCCGAACGTTTCATGAAATGTCGAAAATCGCGAAGTTGAGAAAATGCCGAGGTATAAAATTTTTTTTAAAAACTTAAAACAAATTGATTCAATGATAAAATCATCCTTCAATTTTGAAATCGATCGAAAAAATCGATTTAAATGGACCATCATTAGACATGACTTTGACTTTCTTAAATATGTGAGTTTATTTGCCTTATGACTACAATTTTTAAATTCGTTTCTCTATTATTCCTACTAAAAAATATTTATGTTTCCCATAATTCATCTTTATTTATAAGTACTTAAGTATTTATTTAAATATGATTTTAAACAATATACAATATTGTTTAAAAATTAAAAAAATATATTATTAGTGATACTGAAGTAAATTTACAAAAAGTTGTAAAACTATCTAAAATTTAATTGATTCGGGGTTATGACTGCATCTTTAATATATATTTTTAATGTATGCTTTTTTTGTGATAGATTCAAAAATTCTATTTTTACTTTTCAGATTATCAACTATAGATGATTTTCGCTTGGCTTTACATTAAAGTTTAACTAAAATGCCATTAAAACGACTTAATGTTCTGGAATTTGCAGGATTAGCACCAGTGCCATTTGCTGGAGCAATTTTATCAGACTTTGGTGCAAATGTGACTGTTATTGAACAAGTATTAAGAAAATTTACTAATAATGATTCAGTTATTTATATTCAACAAAAAAAACTACAAATACTTTTAAATTTACAATTCCTTTAGAATTTCCTATTGTTTGACCTTCTTATTACTTATTTTTTTATCTAAAATTATACACTTAATTATTTTTTTCAGTCCAGGTTTTATTTTTGTATTAAACATATAGATAAAATAAATTAAGTCTAGCTTTTAACTTAGTTTTTAAACATCAATCAATCTTACTTTTAATTTATATCCCTGACCTTAGGTAATTACTATTATAACACTTATACTTTAGTATATCCGTATATTCTCATCCTTTGTGTACAATAGTTTTTTATTTTATTTCATTTCATATACATATAACTTAAACTATATATAAAAATGTAAAAATTTATTATGATTAAATAATTTTTAGAAAAACAATATAGCAGGTGATTTTACAAATTTATTAAGTCATGGAAAAAAATCTATTTGTATTAATTTAAAACATCAAGAAGGTGTTGAAGTTATTAAAAATTTAGTAAAAAAGACAGATATTTTAATTGAGCCTTATAGACCAGGTAAATATACAGAGCAATTTTTTAATTATGATATATGAAATATTTTTAAAAATATCAAACATAATTTTTTCTTCTTTTTTTAAATTAATAATATCCTGTTCTATAATTTTCAAAAAAAAAAAAAATTGATTAAAATTGTGTATTTTAAATGGAAACATTAATGTTCCCATATTAATTTCATGTAATTCTTACAAATAAAGTAATGATATAATTTAGAAAATGATTAGAAAAGAATCTAAAAATTGAGTTGAGAAATTTGTTGTAAAACTATTTTTAGATAATAAAAATTGGTATCCTTATTGACTGCATCATCATATTTGTTATATCTTCAAATATTTTCTAATAAACTAATTCATAATATTATTTGGATATTTCGGAAAAGAAATATAATTGTCCAAAATTTCAATTTTTATTCTTAGGTGTAAACAAAATTTTTTTTTGTTTTAAATTTCTCTTCTATCTAAAAATGGTTTCAGAGATAGAATCGTTTAAAAAAACTTTAATTTTTATACTCTAGCACCTTTATGTAGATCAATCTTGACGTTACACAAATAATATAAACATTTTTTTGAGATTCTTAAAAATTCTATCAAATTTTATACTTTTAATTTCCCTACTATAATTTTAACTTTGAAAGCATCATATTTGAAAAAAGTTTTACCATTTTTTTGGTGTTCAAAAGTGGTTCAATATTTTATTTATTACCATTTCATCATAAACTTAAAAACCTTTCAATCAAGCATAATTTGGAAAACATTTTTGCATTATTGAAATATAGTAAAAAATTGTTTGAAAATTTTGACTTAGAAATATAGGTAAAAATAAGTTCGAGTTATCAATTCTTATTAAAAACATTTAATTGAATAATGAAAATTTGTTTGCAAATGTGCTAGACTATAAATCAACAAACATTTATCAACAACTCATATTTATGTTTGTTTTAGGTGTAATGGAAAAGTTTGGTTTAGGACCAGATGTATTAATGGCTGAAAATTCAATGTTGATTTATGCTAGATTAAATGGTTATGGTTCATATGGATATTATTCTCATAGAGCTGGACATGACATTAATTTTTTAGCGATATCTGGTATATTATCTCATGTTGCTTTCATTATTAAAATTAAATTTGTCTAAAATGATTGAATGCTATGTGAAACTAGCATAGAGAACTATTAATGTATATCACCCAAAACTTAGGTTTATTGTCTATGTATGGTGCTAAAAATCAAAAACCTTCACCACCTATCAATTTCTCAGAGTTTGCTGGTGGTAGTTTAGTTTGTGTTTTAGGAATACTTATGGCAGTAATAGCACGAGAAAACATAGGTAAAGGTCAAATAATTGATGCAAGTATAACTGAAGGAATATCATATGTTGGAAGTTGGTTAATGCGTTCACAAAATTCTTTTGTGTGGGGAAATCCTAAAGGCCAAAATTTGTTTGTATAGTTTTATTGTTATATATATATATATATAGTGTTATTAGTAATATTCTTTAAAATTATAAAGATTAGATGGTGGAATGCACTTTTATGACACATATGAAACTAAAGATGGAAAGTGGATGGCAGTAGGAGCTATTGAACCTCAATTTTATAAAGAATTTGTTGATGGTTTAGGACTAAGTAATGATGGTATGGAACAAATAGATTATGATATGAATGAAAATAATAGAAGAATTATAGCAAACAAATTTAAAGAAAAAACCCAAGAGGACTGGTGCAAAGTAATTATGTTTTGAAACTAATATATTTTAATCTTGATAAAATTATATGATATTCAAATTTATTAAAAAATACTAAGGGGTATTTATATGTTTAGGCAAAAAACTGCTTATATAATTTTTATCTTTAAATGTATGGGGAGGATTAGAGATATTTAAAAAAAATTGAAAAATAACACATAGTTGTATTAATTACTGATCAATAATTGTATTCATAGATTTTTGATTTCAAAGATGCATGTGTTACTCCTATATTAAATATTAATGAAGTAAGCCAACATCCACATAACAAGATTAGAAACTCTTTTATAGAAAATGAAGAAGTTATAGTACCAGTACCAGCTCCTAAATTAGATGAAACTCCAGGTATATCAAGTACCATTAGGAGTTCAAGAGTTCTTTGTGGTCAACATACAAACGAAGTACTTAAGAGTATAGGATATTCTCCCGATAAAATTAGAGAATTAAAGATGAATAAAGTAGTATATGAAGGACTTAAAACTAAAATATGATTAATTAGATTTTAAATATTAATTTTATATATTTTATTTAATCTTTATTAGGGCAAACATTATCTTATAAATATATTATAATAAAGATATTATTATCTTATGAATTTGTTAAATTTTAATAAATACATTGTTGGCTGTAAAGCCATCTAATATATCTACATTCATATTCAATATAGTTTTCATCTTGAGGTACAAATTTTTCATCAGTTGTCATTCTAAACATTTTTAAATCCTTATTAGACCAAATACCTAAAGTTATAAAAAACGTATTAATATATTAAAAAGTAGGTTGATATATTGATCATTAAGCGCATATATGTGTTAATTACAAATTATTTACATTTTTCAAGAAATGACATTCTAAGATTACTAATAAGATATACAGAGTAATTAGTTTATCATGAATCACTCAATTACATACAAAGTAAATACAACTCTATAAAAACAGTTTTCGATTTCTTTTAGTTGGATATAATTCTTGATTTATCAGCTAATAATTACTTTTTAGGATCATCCCTCTTATAACATATAGAGATATGTCAACTTTATTTTTTTAAACATACATATTTGATTATTTTATAAGAGACAATTATCCAGTTGAAAAAATGAATAGTCGATAACAATTTTCAGATGAGTATTTCAGAAGTTATTAATTTATGACTAGAGGTGAGGAGTGGGTGCCGTTATTTTTATCACTAGTCATTTTCCACCATACTCTTCGTACTGCTTAGGTATAAAAATGAAAATAACATCCAAAAGTTGTTATCGAAAAGTTATTTTCTTAATTAGATAATTTTCTACTTTATAAGTTAATTAAGTATGTACGATACTATTTAAAAAAATTAAATTAACACCACTATATGTTATAAGAAATGATCTAAAAAGGTAATAACTAGCTAATAAATCAAAAAATATTTGTATATAAAAAGAATCAAACATTTTTTTTCAATATTTTATTTATTTTGAGAGTAATCGAGTAGTTTATAATAAACCAATCTTCCTATATACTAGAGTAAATATAACATTTGATCACAGCCTAGTATGACATCACAAGAGTATTTAACATACATCATTTGTGACATGAAAATACATAACTTGTTTATTTATTTTGATATATAACTATTTTACACAAAATTTATACTTAACACATGTGTGTACTTAACCATCAATATAAGGGTATCATTATTTATAGAGGTACAATTTTATTTTCAAAATATCTTGGATAGGATCCAACAAATTTTTTCTAGTACATCTAAAAATAAAAGGTAAAAAATTTAGTCATGATTGATTAACCCTAATATGTGCCATAAATAGGTTGAATATTTAATGTATGAGGTAGTTTTTCAGTTTTTCTTAATTATCTCAAAAACTATTATATTATTTGCTAAGATAAAAATGTATAAAACTTAATTTGTAGATAATTATTTTCTATAAAATTTTTTATCTAAATTTACTATTTTACAATTAAATTAACAATTAAAATGATTTCGACTACACTCCTATCATTATTGTTTTTCAATATATTTATTAATACAAAAAGCTATAATACAGATTTTTCTAAAAATTATATATTATCAAAATATTATTTGAATATACATGTATATGTATTTTTTATACAATAATTTGTAAAATGGGTATTTATGATAATCAAAATAAATGATTGGTTTATAATGTTGTTCAAGTATATGATTTCTTGAGAGTATCCTTAGCAAATCCAACAAATTTTTTTGTAATGTTGAACTACTTAGAAAATGTTTAGTTGTATCAAATACAAAATCTACTTTTTTTTCTAAAAAGACCATTCCTCTAAAGTTTTTTTTAGATAAAGCTATTTTAGACTGTACCTAAATATAGCTGTGTAACACCAAGCAATTGTTTAATGTTTTTGGTGTTGTAACTATATTGATAGCCAAATTTTGATTTACGTGTTATATCTGTTTATAATTTAAAACTTCAGTGACATACTTAATATTTTATATTTAAATGATCAAATTTGCACCACATATCTTGAAAAATTTGATTACAATATTTTTCTCTAGCAAATTTTATTGAGATATTTTTGATAACATCACGAGTATCAATCAAAATTGTAATTAAAACTACTGTTTTATATGTGGACACAATCCCTGCCTCACTTATTAAATACGGCTATTAATTGTCTAGATATTATTTCTTTTCTTGCTATTTTAATTTTAATTTTTTCAGATTCAAGTAATGTTTTTCCTATTTTATATTTTATTACCTACTAAAAAATAAATGCCATTATAATTATGTATTTTTTAATATCCTGCTTGAATTTACTGACTATTTTATCTTTTTAAATGACTCAACATTTTTTTTGTCTATTTTATTATCTTCAAATCTTGATAGTTTCTTGTTTAGTATTAATATATACATTTTCCATCTTTTTCATTATTACAATTAAAAACTATTTATCTTTGGCAATATTTATTAAAGTAAAAGCACCACTCAATACGATATTGAACAAATCATTTAAACTTTTTTCAAATTCATTTTGTCAATTGATACTAAGTTCATTGATACGAATTTTCAATTTTTTAATCTTCAAATAGTTTTTTAGACTGACAATACAGTCTAAACGATGTTGGGATATGAGTTTCATGTCAATAAATAAGATATTAAACAATCACAAGTGACACCCAAATTAAGATTATTATTATACGCATATTATAAAAGAGAACACTTAAAACGTCTCTTTTTGAAGGTAATTTACCAGCATATATTTGATTTTTTATTAGGCCAAATAAAAATAATTGTTTACAAAACATTTTAAAGTAAAATAAATTAAAGTTTATAAAATATTTAAATAATTGAATTTCAGTTGATTACTAAAATTACATATAACATAGAGTCATAAACAGTAATATCTACTTATTCTTTTGTTATAAAACGTTAAAATTATTTTGATCTTTTTCTCATATCTATCAAAAATATCTTCTATAACACCAAATAGTGTACATTTTACTAATGGTCAACATTTAATGTATTAACTAAGCGATTATTCTAACAATAATTTGACAATGTGTAACATTTTTTTAGAAAATATAATTTCGAACCAAATTTGTATTGAATTTATAATTGTATTATTTATCATGTAATGAATATGTTGAAGAAATAATAATGATGGGTGTAGTCAAAATCATTTTAATTGTAAATAATAAATTTAGGTAATACATTTTATTAAAATATTTTAAAAATAAAATCTCCCTCTATAAATAAGAAATAAAAATTATATCTATATTATATACAAGGTGATTTTTTTAATGCTAGCCACTTTATTTCTCATAAAATAATGTTTTTGATATTTTTTTTATTTTTATTTTGTTAGTTACATAATATGTAACATTATGTATCTCAATTATCTGTCTTGAAGTAACTTTTAAGTCCATCTCTAATATCTTATAGAGGTGTCAACTTTATTTTTTTTAATGACAACATATGTGTTAAACTAGCTTATAAAATAGAAAATAATCTAATTAAAAAAATGACTGGTCAATAACAACTTTTAGACAAATTTTTTGGAAGATACTTACATATTGAACCTAGTCAGGAGGAGAAGAGCAGCTGAGAAATAACTAAAGATAAAAATAATAACCTTATCATTTCACCTCCAATTTATATTTTAAAATGCTAATAAATTTCAAAAATTAGAACTAAAGTTGTTATCGACCATTCATTTTTTTAATTAAATAATTGTCTATTATATAATAAGCTAATTAAATAAGTGTTGTCATTAAAAAAAAATAAAGTTAACACTTCTATAAGATATAATGCATTGATCTCAAAATTATTTCATAACAGATAATTGAGATACATATGTAATTAACAAATGAAAAAAAAACAAATTTCAAAAAAACTTATTCTTTATGAGAAATTGAGTTGGTAACATTAAAAGAATCTTTCTGTATATTCATAATTTTTTTTTACTAAAAACACTACTTTGGAAATCTTACTATCTTTAGTAATTATTAATTATTTTCGAGTATTAATTAACATAATACCTGTCATAAGTAATACATATTTTGAAGCTTTTAACTAATAATTTGTGTTAAAATATGTTTTTAAAAGAATAAGTTACAAAATTATAAATCATTCTAATATATTAATTTTCTTACTACTTGCCTGAAGATAATCCAGCCATAAAAGCAACACCTAGACAAGATATTTCAGTTTTGTAACTATTTTTCATTCTTATAACAACAGTAGAGGTAGTGTTTGCTAATGTTTGACAAATATAATTATTTCGAGATACACCACCATCAACCCTGATGTTGAAAATTGTTTAAATATTATAAATTAGACTAGAACAAAAAAAAAGAGACTTTCAGCTTGATAAATTACCATAAAATTTTAGGCTTCATTTCAGGCATTTCTTTATGAAGTTTGTCAAGTCGTTTTTTTATTCTAAATGCAAATGAATCTAAAATTGATTTTGTCATTTCTACTTTAGTTGTAATAGCTGTCTGGCCAATAAAACTATAATCATCTTCATTATACTTAGATGACTGTTAAAATTTTATTTTATTAAAGTTAACAATTAAAATATTTCATATCTAAATAATTTATTATGGTTTAAACTTACTTTACTGTCTGGTAAAACAAATAATATATCATTCACTGATGGTTTTTCTGAAATACTAGATAATTCATTCAACTCTTTTAAATTATCGTATAAACCTAAATAAACCATACAATTTTAATAGATGAAGTAGTGTGTAGCTCATAATTTAAAAATAATCGAGTTTTTCACCAATTGATTTTCCTAATGATATTAATGATCCACAATTTTGATCAACTGCTTCCACTGTATAGCACATTTCATTATCAAATTGCCAACCAACTAATGGGTAAAATCCTTTAAGTAAAAATTAATTGAGTTAAAAAGAAATTACTGTGTTCAATATGTTATTTTTAATTAACTGTAAAAATAATACTCTAAACAATATAAAGTGTGATTATTTTAATTAAAAATAAATTTCTTAAAGTAAACAATTACAAACAGTCAACCTACTCTAGGAAAAAGAAATAGAAATGTATCATTACAGTAGTATTATTTTTTTTATTATCAATATAGAGATTAATATTTTGTCATATGCCCATTAGATATTGCTTTCTTATATACTTGATAAAATAGTGCCTCCAGAATATTTTATACTTTTTAAATTAACTCAATCTCATAACAATATTACTTACTTTTAAAATAAAAAAAGGATGTTAAATAAAATTATAACATAATTTCACAAAAAGATTTATCTAATAAATTCAGCCACATGAAAAAATATTTCTCTAGCAAACAAATAATCACTTTAATTAATTCAAAATTTAAAAAAGTGATAGAATTTAAAATAAAAGTAAAAAAAAATGATACAAACCTGAATACACACTTGGTAATTGACCACAATTTATATCTAAAAACATTCCTGTACCCATAGTAACTTTAGCAGTATTTTTAAGAAAGCAACCTGTTCCAAATAAAGAAGCAGATTGGTCTGCAATCTTAAATTACATAAAAGGTTATAGTTAAATATATGATACTTATTAAACTGGTTAGGTGGCAATTTTTAGAGAGAGTTAAAAAAATGTTTCTTATTATTTATTTGTTGTATAATAAGTATTATTTTAGAGACTGTAAATATCATTATAATTGTGTTACACAAGCTTCAACCCCTGAATATTAACTTCTGAAATAGATTTTAACTTTTAATCGAGATTCGCTATAATATATACATGTACAAAGTTTACCCAACAAAATTTCAGCTATTTATTATATATTATAAATATACTGATTCAACTTAAATATTTACAAGGCAATTCTCTTAATCTTAGCCACCTAATTTCTCTTAAAATCATAAGTTTTATTAAATTTTTCTTTTGCATTTTGTTAGTTACATATGTATCTCATATTTCTCTTTTATAAAATAATTTTTAGATTCATCCTTTATATCTTAAAGAAATATTAACTTAATCTTTTTTAACGGCAACATACATGTTTATAAAATAGAAAATGATTGTTTGATAATAACTTTTGAACCAGTGCTTCGGAAGATATACAAATTTTTGTACCTAGATGAGAGGAGGAGTTAATCAAGAAATAATAATAATAATAGCTAGATTTTTATCATTTTGATCTGTACTTCACCTCCAATTTACATTTTAAAATGCTAATAACTTTTGTAAGATTAGTTCGAAAGTCGTTATCAACTAATTATTTTTTATTTTATAAACTAGTATAATACATATCACAATTAAAAAAAATAACAAATATTCTTATAAGATATAAGGAATGGAGCTAAACATTATTTTACAATAAAAAATGGAGATACATAATATGTATCTTAATGTTACATATTATTTAACTAACAAAAGTTAAAAAATAAGTTTTTTTAAACCTATTATTTTAAGAGAAATTGAGTGGCTAGTATTAAAAGAATCAAATATATAATACAAAGCATTTAGTAAAATCTTAAATGCATGTTGTTTTAATTATTTATACAGTTTTAAAAATAAAACAAAACTTTTCTAAATTTAAATGATTATAAACTTAAAGTAATATTTACCGAAATTTTAAGTGGAATATTACTAATGTGGATGTCGTAATATTTGTATTTTGATAAGTTGGTATCACATATTTCAGGAAACATATTATTATTAAGTCCAAAAAACTGTAAAATCATTTTTGGTAGCCATTTCATAGTAAATACATTAAATAATCCAGTTGAGCTAGCACATGAAAAATCTGTAATATGAAGTAACCCTTTACTTGCACGATGTAGTAGCCATGTATCCAAGGTTCCAAATTGTACTTCATTTCTTCTTACACCTTCTTTAAAATCATGATTATTCTCCAATAACCAAATAAGTTTTGGTAAGATCTGCAATATAAAATATTCTTTTTAATTAAATAATATATACAAATTATTAAAGTTAATTAATTTACTTGAGCATTAGTAAAAAGAAATGATTTAGCAAGTTTTAATTGTTTTGATGAACAAATAAATCCCAGTATTTTTGAAATGTATCTGACAAACTGAAATTTAAAATATTGATAACTTAGGACAAAAATAAAATTTTCTGTAGTTTACAATATTTAGATTTTATGTGGAATTTTTCAACAAATTTTAAGTTGAGTTTTAGAGTTATTCCATCACATCTAGTATTTTAGTAATTACACACTAAAATATTAATAAAAACATAAAACAAAATTTCCTTGTACTCTCCCATTTTGTTTGATGCATATTTAAAAACTGACATAATTGCTGTTAATAAAAACGTGTGTAAATTTTGAAATTATATAAAAATTGTTTTTTGTTATAATTACTTTTCCAGCAGTTATATTTGAATTAAGTAAATCTACAAATTTTTGCGTATATTTTTACACTAAAAACAATAATGTAATTATTTATCATTTATCTACATTATTTGTTCAATTATTACATAGAAATGGTTAAAAAATATATTAAGTAATAATATTCAGAATTATGAAATCACATTTGTTTATCTTATAAATTTGCCTAGTTATCTCGTAACAACTTTTTATACTTTGATGTTTAATATTATGTATGTATTATACATATAAAAACTAATACACAAGGAATTTCATAAATAAGATGCAAGTGCAAAAATACTAAGTTAAAAAATTAGATTGATTTAATTTAAACATGCATATTCATTAACTAATACATAATATTTAGTATTATTATTATTTTTTTTTTAATGAATACTTTATTTCATTGATTTTCTTTTAAACACATTTTGGGTCTCTTCCTGTTCAAACATTTAACAATTACATTTACGTTTCATCGATCATAGTAACATTTTTCCATGTTATATATACAGAGTAATTTTTTTATCATAACTTGCTCAATTACTTACAAAATAAATATAATTTAAATATTTTTTTGGTTATTTTTAGTTACNAAAATAAATATAATTTAAATATTTCTTTGGTTATTTTTAGTTACACAATTATTAATTATGTAATACTTTTTAAGTTCATTCTTTATGCCTTGTAAGGGTGTCAACTTTGTTTTTTTAAATGGGAACATATATTTTGAATTTAATAAAATGTTTGAGTTTTTAATTTAATAGTAAATGGTATTTGAATTTTTAATGTAACATTATTCGTTTATTAGATATAAATTAAAGTTTCAAATTTTTGAGTTAATATTCATATATAGTACAAATACAGGTAGCTAATTGGTTTTTATGTCATTGCTGTCACAGTCACGGATTGTTTATTATCTATTATGACTATCAATAGATAAACTTTTTATATTGTCCGTTAGTGTATTTGTAAATTCACAACAATGTGTCTTACTACCATTGATAATAACAATGCTGTGTACCTGTGAATATTGATGTCATAATAACCAATTACCTACCTGAATTTGTAATACCTTGTGTACTATATATGTATATTAACTTAAAAATTTGAAACTTTAAATGTTGATATTTAATAAACGAATAAAGTTTTATTAAAAATTCAAATACCATTTACTATTAAATTAAAAACTCAAAATGTGTTCTCATTTAAAAAAACAAAGTTGACACCCTTACAAGGCATAAAGAATGAACTTGAAAAGTATTACATAGTTAATAATTCAAGAATAATGTGTAATTAAAAATAACCAAAAAAATAAAAAATACTTAAATTATATTTATTCTGCAAGTAATTGAGTGGGTTAAAAGAAAAAAATCACCTGTATTGATGAAATTTTTAGAATCAACAACAAAAAAAAAACCCAGCACAGGGGGGTCGTGGCATAGTTGGATCAAGTATAATGATATATGACAGTAATTAAAATCACTATAAAAAAAAAAACGCTTCGATGCAAATCTTTAGATAGTGTTTAATTTTAAAAAATTGGTGGATTATTCCAAAAGCTTCATGATCTGCTAGTTCCTTATTAATATCCTGATTAAGATAAAGTATGTCAAATGAAAAAGGGAATATTAAAAAATATTATTTCTCATAAAAAAATTATGTTGATCCATACACTTTTTAATAAGTTATAGCATTATAATGTTANAAAATAGTATTTCCCATAAAAAAATTATATTGATCAATACACTTTTCAATAAGTTATAGCATTATAATGTTAAAAATGTAAAAAATAAAATCGAGAATTTTCACACAATAATAGCATTCGGTAGCCATTTAAAAGTGTCAGACTTTCCAGAAAACTTTCAAAATTTAAGTTGAAATAGTAAATTTTTTGTGAAAAAGTTGTCATTTTGAATCCCCCCCTGTAGACAGGTAAAAAGTCAGATTTATAAAAAAAATACACCAAATTATAGGTAAAGACATCATGCATCTATAAAAAAAAGAATTATATTGATCCATACATCTTTCAAAAAGTTATAGCATTATAAAGTTAAAAATATAAAAAAGAATTTTTTTACAAAAATCGTATTTTTTTTATTAAGTTTGATGTCTGTTTTCACCATGAAGATAAAATAAAGTCCGAAATTTTTTTTTACCATTATAAAGTATATTACATAAGCTTTAATTTAAGATATATATAAAAGTGTCAGACTTTCCGGAACACTTTCAAAATTTAAGTTGAAAAAGTCAATTTTTTGTGAAAAAGTTGTCATTTTGAATCCCCCCCTGTAGGCAGGTAAAAAGTCAGATTTATAAAAAAAATATACCAAATGATAGGTAAAGACATCATGCATCTATAAAAAAAAGAATTATATTGATCCATACATCTTTCAAAAAGTTATAGCATTATAAAGTTAAAAATATAAAAAAGAATTTTTTTACAAAAATCGTATTTCTTTTATTAACTTTGATGTCCGTTTTCACCATGAAGATAAAATAAAGTCCGAAATTTTTTTTTACCATTATAAATTATATTACATTAGCTTTAATTTAAGATATATATAAAAGTGTCAGACTTTCCCGAACACTTTTAAAAGTTAAGTCGAAAAAGTTCTATTTTCTGCATGAATTTTTTAGATTTAAACCCCCCTTGTATATAGGGAAATGGTCCGATTTAAAAAAACAGTATGTCGAATGAAAGATCTATATAAATACTACTTCTCATGAAAAAATTGTATTGATCCATACATTTTTCAAAAAGTTATAGCATAATAAAGTTAAAAATATAAAATACAAAATCGAACATTTTCACACAAAAATAGCATTCGGTAGCCATTTTCACCGTGAAGATAAAATAAAGTCCGAAATTTTTTTTTACCATTATAAAGTATATTACATTAGCTTTAATTTAATATATATATAAAAGTGTTAGACTTTCCGGAACATTTTCAAAAGTCAAGTTGAAAAAATTAATTTTTTGTGAAAAAGTTGTCATTTTAAATCCCCCCCTGTAGGCAGGTAAAGGGTCAAATTTATGAAAAAAATATACCAAATGAAAGGTAATGATATTATGCATCTATATAAAAAAGA